TATTTTTTACCTTTATTATAACTTTTTTCTCTATTCGTCATTTTTGTACATGAGACTAAAATCTAGTGAAACAACTTTTTGAACATTTAAACTAAAATATTTTCGACGTTTCAACAGGCTTTCTGATTTAAATTTTTGAAATGAAGAAGTTGTTGTGAAACGGTCACCTGCACACTTTATAATTTAATGCTCAGGTCCCGTAAATTATTTTCTTTTAATTGTTTCATCCACTAAGTTTTAAATCTAATTTAGTCCAAGTTAATCTAATTTGCATGCCCAGAATGGTTGGGTTTGCAGTTATTGAGCAAAGCATTTCGCCGAGATTATTCCGGTGAGGCAGTAAAGGCCCAATCATTTGGTGGGTTTATATAAATGAAATTTGTCAACAACACACGTATACACCTTGTAGTGATGTTAATGCGAACCATTTTAAATTAGATAACGTTTGAACGACGGGGATATGCAGCCACCAGCACCAAAGTAAATAAAACTATGTAATATTCAATATTCAGGAGCTTATGACAATTGCCTAATGGATCAACTTCTACAGTTAAGAAGTCTCTAGGTTATAGTAGCAATTATTATACTACCCTTATCTCCTGTATGAAATAATTGTAGAAGGTGGTTTTCTACTGTAAATTATTTCAACAGTTTTGTCTAAATTAATAATTACTAATATGTCTACAATTTTTTTATAAATAGGTTAATAATATTGTAGGTTTTATTTGTTTGCTGAATGTTTTTTTAAACAAACTAAAAGCATTTCAGCGGTGCAGTTTGGCAAATTTTGGGTGTTCAGTCTGGTGTTTTGGCCCTGCAGATGGTCCTCATTAAAAATTAAGTTAAACGTTCATTTTAAAAGAGCAATGCAGCATTTTCCAACGTTTCGATGTAGCTGCATGAATCAAGCGCTTGAATTTAAACCAGACCTAACAAAATAATGATTTGGTTTTAAAAATAAAACGTTTACAGTTTTGAGAAAAAGATCGACTGAGACTGATAACAATGCCATTAATTTTCAGCGATAAAATCATTAAATCCTAAAAATGAGCTTCACGAACGGAATTTTATTGTTCTGATGGCTAACCTCGAGCTCAAAGTCTTTCTGCATAAATGCGCTAGCAGTTTGGGGGAGAAGTGTTTGAGACGGCCGATGGAAGTCAATGCATTCAGCGACTTTTAATTTGAACTCGATGAATATGCGGTAAACATCAACTTACTTGTCTCGCTCATGCATGTTCTAAATAAATAAAAATAAACGTCTACTTTTTTCGAATACCTTTGTGACCACAAACGTGAAAGTATGCTTATTTTGTGAACTTGTTGAATAGTAAATCGCCAACCGGCTGGTCACCCAAAAATGTCTTACTCACAACTATTCAGTAGAATACCGTCTACTACAGAACTTGTTTCAAAAAGCAAGTATATCCGCTCGAACAGTTTTTATTGTTAAGAATTGACCGATGCCTTGCAGAACCCGTCTTTTGACATCACGTCTGAGTATTTCTTAAGTAGCCTTTCTATTGATATATTCAAATCAGTTGTTAACGTGTTATTAATACCCGCAGATTACGAAGGCTTTTTCAAAAACATCTGAGTAATTAAATATTTGTAAGGTATCGCATTCACATTGAAAAAGCCGTATCCACGTACTCACCGAGCTCAGTCATGTGCTAGCTTGTCCTTTTAAAACGGATAGGCTTTCGTTAGTGAAGATAGTGCTCTCCAACTCGAAAAACGAGGCTAAAAATCCATTTTATTTGATGGAATGGTGCATCGTTGTGAACGTGTGCATTGCCCATTGAAAAACTGTTGCTGTGAGGCGTCTTTATCCACACCCCTTAGTCTGGTCGCCCCACCTCCGACACAAGGTTCCCTTTTCGCAGCATGTCTCCAGTCGCGCGGATGCTCAACTCCCCCCTCATTCGCACCTAGGTCTCGATGATAGCGTATGACTCATGAATCCGAGGTATAAATACACACACGCAAACCCCACATACGACACAACGACACCAACGAGGTTGAGCTCTGGAGTAAACGGTTGTGTCAACGTCCTCTCCTATCTTTTTCTTCACTCCGGGTATCAGGGACGCGTAATCGGACCAGTGTTAATTCAGTGACCCTAGCGTGGTACAAGACCACATGCTGGGGCCCACAACACTGCCTTCCTATGTAGTTAATTGTGCTGATTCGCGCCCACAAACCCGGTCGTTGCTTCTCCTTTTCACGACGTCCTAATTGACCACGCAAAACCGACACTTTGCACATCCCTGTGGATATACCTTCCGAATTTTCATTCAACTCATGTAGCCAGTCAGCCATTTGAACTTTTACAAGTTAACTTGGGCTGTAGTGATCAACAGTATCTACGTTGATCCATCTAATAAGGGATTTTTTGACCAACTTTAATCTTCTTAGTCTTCCCGGGAATTTGTGAAGTGGATTCTGGTCAATGTGATGTGCTGACTGCGGCGCGGTTTGACGCTACATGCCAGAGCTGTCTTCCACCAGACTTTGATTTTCAGGACTTGAGCTTCAACAGCTACGGAAAATGTAATTGGCTGTCTGAATAAGCATTCATAGACAACGCACACTACCTTAGTTGAAATTATTTTTTGATCAGAAGCTTTTTGAACATACTTTGGAAAATTAAGTTTGTAAGTTTATCTGGTTTCGCTTCTATATGTTCAACATAAGCCACCTCCCTCCGTTCCAGTTGGGCCTGTTTCACATCTTGGTGCCCAGTCGCCTAGCAAAGTTAGGTGAAGTTATGTGGTCATAAGATGCCTGTGTAGTGAGCCCCGATGCGGTTTTGGAAACCACACCAGGGCCGACAATCTGCATTGACACGGCCCGACCGAATGAAGAGCAAAAAATGCTGATGGCGCGCAGCTCAACTAATTTACTGATGCAGTAAGCACTGATCCTTGAGCGGGCGGAGTTACATGAAGTGCATTCACGAAAATCGATTGAATCGCGTTCGCTCAGGGTTGCTAATTACGTTCGCTCATGATTGATAACTGTGTTCTCCACATCTGTATTAGACAATCGACATTACCACAAATGCCTTTTTTAGAGTGCCTAAACTTTTAATTTGTTCAGGGATTTTGCAAATTCGAGGAACTTTTCAAGTTGCATGGTTTACATTCTGTCAGCATATTGTCGCCTACATGAATTCCCCGTCCTTTGTCAAGCAATTAAAAATTCTGTCAAAAGTGCTCAACACAGTGTTGCCCAAATTTTACGTTATTATCCTGAAAATAATTTACATGTCATCTAAATTAATTTTTAACTTTTAACGAAATTAGATCACAGAAAACGCGTTTAAGGTTAATCAACTGACCACTGTAGACAAAATGGTACATTGACAAACAAAATCTAGCTAATTGACATATTCAATAACATAAGAGACTTCGGCAGAACCTGATGACCACAATTTATTTTTCATTACCATTTTTAACCTAAGAGTAGCTGATTACTCTTTCACAAAAGTATTGTTGTGGTTTTGAACCACGCCGGGGCCACTGTGATAAATCCTGCCCGTGAAAATAAAAAAAAGACTGCAGAGGGTGAGACACAACCGTTTACTGGGTCGCTCAACGAAGTTGTGTCTGTTAGCGCATTAACGTGGGTGCATTGCTGATACAGCCTGGGTGAATTAGTAAAAGTACGAATGGATGAAACAGGTGTGATTTGTTCATGCGCAGGGGTTAATGAGCAGATGGGCCCACGTGACTGATGGGGCCGTGTGTGTGAGGCTGCGACGACGCGTAGCGGTGGCGCGTTAGCACTACCTTATCACCCTGATAGTCGACAGTCCATCGCAGCCCCAGAAGGAAGGCAGGACCGATGATAGCGAATCCATCGCTTTATTCACATTTGACCACCCAAGTCTTTTATAGCACAGTGTGTGAGTGTAACTCGTGCGTCAACTGTAATCGACAATCAATGACATTCGATCATCTCGTGAGTAAGATTCACTCGCGCTCGTTTGATGAAAGTTCACTACAGACGGGTTATCAACACGAGTCACTAGTATCCTCATCTGCTTGTGCAAACTTGTCGAGAGTGTCCATTTTAGCCTTTGAGAAATAGATTTCTGCGCACTTCAAACGATTGTCTACAGACCGAAAAGGTGAAAATCTGAGATCATTAGTGCCATCACCGTTCAGGAATTTCTATCCTAAAATTAATCGAATGGGTTGATATTGTGCAACCTCATCTCAATACGATGCCGACCACCTTCAAATTGTCCTACTAGGGGTGCTACGTTTTTTGCATAACTTGCCTGATTTGGTCGCAATAGTCAAAGATATCGCACACACAGGCGATGCCACCCTACAGGACATCCTCACGAGCATCTTTAATGCAGATTAACCAAACTTATTTTGGAAACATCGCGGTGCCAGTCTCTTAGGTGGTCGGTATTCGTTTTACCAATAGCACCTCGAGATTGCGTTTGAGTAAACAACCTCGGGCCCAACCATCTCATCGACCCGTGTAATCAACTTTACCCCAAGCTATCGAATGCAGTTCCCGCTATTTATTGTGTCGTGTAGGTAGGTGATAGTCCATGATGCCTCGAAGTGAAGGCTGAGCAGGCGGCTGCCGAACCCGTGCTGTAGCGAAAAGTACCAAGTCAGTAAACTGCGGTGTAGAATACTAACCGATTTAACTTGCCCAAAGTACAAAGGGAGCAACTTTGCTGGGTGTGCCCCAAAATGCGTGGAATTACTATTCAATCAAATGATTGTAATTTTTCCTTTCGATTTCTAATGCATCGGCTCAAAATCAAAGCTAGCATCCTCGCTATCGTCCTCATTCAATAGTGTCAAAGTAACCGAAATTAAACCCTTTTATTTATCCTTGAAACTGCAACTTGAAGAAAATTACCAGGAAAATATTTTAACTAAAATGCATAAGTGATTATGATGAAAACGATTTGAATTAGCCAGTGCCTAATTGTTCACTTTTCATCAACAAGAAGTCAACTTGGAGCCTTAGAGGTCCCGCGGTAGGGTCTCTGGTGGAGCGTAGATGGCAGTGATATTACGTCGATCGCTGCCAAGGTCGTTCTCCACATAACACTGATAGACACCCTCGTATTTGATGTCGAAGGAGCTTATCTGCAGGTGGGAGATGATGCGTCGACCTGGCGGAGCGCCACGGAGACTCACGCTCATCTCATCAGAGTCACCTGAAAGGGCAGTAAAAACCACGATTTGTGCAATGCTCGTACGAGTGAACCCGTCTCGTCAACATGGTGATGGGATTGGTGATGGTTTCTAACTGGCAGTTCCATTTGGCTAAAACGTTAACTATTTAATCTCGCTTTGCCTGACAAGCGAGGCGCTTGAAACAAATCAAGTTTACCAATGCTCCGAGACCCACAGCATGTTACCACGAAATAGTATTTCCATGAAAAATTCCTTGAATGCGAGTTAAATGCTTTGCCTGTCTAATTATTAAACCAAGGAAATTTTTTGCCAGCTGCACTTGTCGAAATTGTTAAAACGCCTCAGACTTACTAACCTAGTGACAATGTGTAGAGTTGTTAGCACTTTTTTTTCCAAAAAAAGCATTGAAATCGGGTCCATCTGCCAAATGAACAAGAAATTCTAGGGAATACTAATACAACTGCGATGATATCTTGTTTCGAAAATCCCCATCGCATAAATTATAATCTCTAGCGGAGTTGGCAGCCATAAATGCTAAGTTGGTGAAGCCTCAAAAGCCTACGTTCAAGTCACGCAAACACCCAGTAATTAGATGTCCCAACCGCAGCTGTTGCTAAGGTCCTTCGGACCTTGGCGTATCTGTAACCACCTCATTGGTCCAGGACGTATTAGCTGGTGGTACGCTGGCTGCCTGCCAGCCCGCGTTCGTGTGTGGCCTTCGTGGGATATCGATCGATCACGCTGCATTCACTCGCCCGCATGACTGCACTTTTCGCCCACGGGCACAGCTTCAACGCCCCCGAAGTCATCCCAACACACTATGACACTGATTCACATTGTTTCGTTGCATTAAACGAATTGGTTTGTCAGGTTTTGTACCTATAAATCAGGGGCCTATGAACTAAGATGTCCCTTGGAATAGTGCTCAATCTCTGAAACACAAGTTATAGATTGACTTAACTTGCTGGACTGTCGTAGGCTTGTAATGCTCGGTGTCAATTGTCACAGCATGAAAAATATTGACTTTTAAAGCGTTTGAGTCACGTTTTCCCAGTCGTAAGGAAATCTACCTACGAATACAAACTTTGAAATATGAGTGACTTTAGTGTGAGACTTTGTTCAAGCTAGTAAATCTAAACCACTTGTTCTAATATGGACCCAAAGGACTGCTCCGCAGTTTGCCGAACGGAATTACATAAAATAGCAAATCATGTGCGTCTTATGGTAAATTATTGTTTACAGCCTTGCCTCTATCTCTTGGGTCCATTTATCAATACCATTAATGGCCTTCACTAGAACGCCTAACCACTACAACCGCTGAGGGAGATTAGTAAGTAAATTTCGCTTTTTTTATCATCCACACAGATAGTAACCCACAAAATAATTTCTACTAGTTAAATTTTGGGAAAAGCGAATTCTACTCTACAAGCCATTTTAGATAGAAAAGTGGTAGCAGTTAGACACGTGGATGGGTTCTTTTTTAATTTAAATTTTCCATCAATTTGCGCAAACAGACGCGACTAGTACAGGTGTAATTACTACAACTTCCTAAAGTTTTTTTGCCTAAATGCACTCGATGCGTGGTTTTGCAATGATAACTTGCACTGCATTCAAGCCATTAATTTAGCTTTTACCTGACTTTGTTATAAAAAATTATTTATAAGCCCACTTTTCAGGGAAAAACGGATAATTATGGGCAACATGACCGCTTGAACTCAACTGGTGATAAGATCCAGAGCGTTAATAGGCACCCAGCAGTGTGTAATGTGGGGCAATAATTCTGCTTTTAATTAATTTCGCCAAAATACTGACCACATCTTAAACACAAGCTTATTTTTACTTTACTGGCTCATGTTCCATTAGCCTACACGGAATAAATTACCTCGAGGCACTTTTTGTAACTCGTACGATTCTAATTGATAGTTCGTTTATTTAGGCAATTTACTACCAGATAAAAGACCATGAAATACTGGTTATTTATAGTGGTTGAACGAATCCTCAGTACATTTACACTTAAAGTGCAGGTACCTGTTGTGTTTTACAGATTTATTCAATTATGGCTTATTCGCCCAACCTCCATAAGGTACATAATTCTCCCCTTATTAATATCCTCGGTGTTCCGTTGAAAATTCCACAAAAAAGAAAATTTAGCTGTTATGTGATCCTGCAGTCTTATTTCTTGTTAATAAAAAAAATTGGAAACTAATTTACGAGACGACCAAACCAACGTTGTCTCGTTTCTAATTCAGATCTCCCACTACATGGTAGCACCACTCACGCGTCTCACAGCTTCTAATTTATAACCAATGTCGAGCTTTTGCGGGTTCAGAGGGATCAGAACTTTGTTCTGTACTCAAATTCAGCCACAGTAGAAAAAAAAACTTGAGAATCGTGTCTTAAACACTTTAGAAAAAACCTCATCAGCCCTCTGAGTGCCGCTTCGACGTGTTTTTTTTAATAAATCTTGTTTGAATCTTATTTTGTATTAGTGGTCTGAGCGCTTTTGGATTTATTCAAATAAGTACAGCAGCCCAGTATTTGCTTGAATTGGCTCTAGAGCAACTGAAGTGCTAAATCAATGAAAAAATTGCACCTACCTGGGAGGAGAATTGCCTCGTAGGAGCCACCAGGTGCAAAGTAGTACCAAGTGACGGAAGGGAGAGGGTAGCCTTTGATTTCGCACCAAAATGTTGTCTTGTTTCCCCCTGGAATTCGCTGTGATTCTGAGGCGGCAACGATCTTGGGCTCTAAGGGAGATAACTTATTGGAAGTTTGAGTACGCTACATGATTTGAAATAAGGGGTGACCAGTTGAGCACATCTGAAGTTCTGACCAAACTTGCTGTCACCATAGCTTTTCATATTTGCATTGTAGATAGCAACCATTCCCACAGTTTTAGTAAAAAAGATAGCCTTTGAAACTAGTCCTACATTCTATCAATTATTTGATAGAGGTGGTTAGCCCCCCGAAAATGGCAAAATTTACCTGAACCACACTTAGATGAAATGTTCCAACGTCAGACAATTTTTGCTTTTTTCAATGACGGTGCCCTCATTTTGCTTACTCGAACTTGTAACATTTTTTGCTGTGCTAGAGGCCGTTTCATACTGACTTGCTTTTACTTTCACGTTTCCATTATTTTCCGTTGAGCCTTTTCAGTTTGACCCAGAGTACGTCAAAAGCCACTGTCCCCAATGACTGGGACAGCACGGAATAAACTAATTTTTTTAACTATTCAACGACTTAACAATTTGTTTTTTTAACAAACAAAACAATTTAGGGCAAACTTTGCAGTCGTATCAAAAGCTTTTACATAATGCTCAATAATTAATGGCTTGACGTGCAGACGACCAAAATCAATTCAGCATTTTAAGCAACTAAAATATTTTGCTGAACAATTCGATATGGATAACTTTCGTAACGAAAATAGTGTATTCCCTGATTCCCTAAGCGAATCAACTCATAAGTGGACTTACGTGACGAGTCAGAATTTGAAACCCAATGCGTCTACATTTAAGGGTTTACGCTATTTGGGCCATGTTTGTGTGTCATGCGTGCATTTCTTAGATGTTAAGTGTGTAAAGCATTAGGAGTTGCGTCTCCCTAGCTTATCTAATTGGGTTGTTAACAACCTTTTACGCCTTTTATTTTTCGCTGATGCGTTTTTAATCTGTGCTACGGGTTTTTAATCAGACCGCCTCTAGTTGACTTTTTTTTTCAAATTGAGCGGATAAGATTAATGAACTCACTATGTTCCAGCGAGTGCCGTTGCCACCAATAATTCCTCCTCGTCATGTGTATCTTTTACTTTAACAGCGCCTTCCTGTACATTAACGACCCAAATCGGTGGCAACTCATGTATAAGTTTGTGGTTCTGAAGTAAAGCGTCTCAATACAATAAGGTTGTTAGTAGGTACCCCGACTCGTTGATGCTTAAGCTGCATATTTTAGGTTCGGGAGTAAGTAATCACATGAGCACTTGCTTGCTAGAATATCGTATTCACTTTAGTCTTGCCACTTGTATAAAATTGGTGCACTTGTGGTAATGAGATTACTTTAAAGGACATGACGCATTTTTTTCGGAACAATACTTAAAAATCGATTTGGGGAGACTTAAAGCTTTCAAACTTATTTCCTTACCTGATTTGCAATCGTCGTAAGAGATGAGGAAGACTTCACCGAAAGATTTTGCTTGCACAGCCTCCAGCTCACAAGCTGAGTAGGTCTCCCCATTGCTGGCACAGAACCGACCGGGTTTAGTACAAACACATATGTTCTCCTCCCCAAGTGAGTGTTCATCCACGTCAGTGCGGGGCTGACAGAGGAGGTTTTTGCCGCAAGCACCGTAGTAGCCGTGGCGCCGCTTACCCGAGAGCATGTCCTGAAGCTCCTGCCTGGTGTTGCATCGGTGGCCTTGTTCCAGACCGCAAACCGAGCAGCAACCACAATAGTCTTTCACCTCTCCCATGGGACACATAGTGACCGGAGGGCACTTTGTCTCGTCGCATGGCCCGCAGGTGTCCAATGGTGTTTCGCCGGTGTCGTCGTGGTAGGCAGCAATGGTGCTTACGACGAATACGCAAACGAGAGCGACTACCGACTTAGTAGACCACATTGCAGGAAATAACACTGAAGCCATCCATCTGTGCGCGCAAGGAAACGTGGACAGACAGGTGCACTAGTGTGCAGAGGGACAGGTATTGATTCGGGTTGGTTGTGCGTGTGGGGATGTTGACTTGTTTGACCTAAGTGCATGTAGGCGTGTGCGCGTGTGTGTACACTCGGCTCTTTTTTGAAGCCCGTGGCACGACCAGTGATAACGCGACGTGGCAAACCGTGGAAAAAGGTCAGTTTGTAAATAAATGCCTTACTGATTCTAGCACACATCCGCACACACACACATACACAGCAAAGCAGAATCCACAATTTTGTTCGAACGATTCTTCCTGTAGATCACCTGTCACCTAACGCAATTATTAAAACAGCTGTTTGTAAAAGGAGAAATTCTATTCCAAAATCAGCGTCTGGGCTATGGCAAATGCCTGTTACCATCCACATTTCATATCTGCATGGTAGTAAAATACAAGCACCTGAGGATATCACGGTAAACAGGATGCGAACACTTCCGTTGCACTGGGTGCCGACTGCTTGCTCGTTCATTTTTATATAAACTTTTAAGAAAAGTTAGCATTTTTCTAACAAGATCCAATAATTTCAATTCGCCTCATTATACTATAAAGTCACTCAATAGGTCAATGGTAGAAATTTATGCAAGAAAATTATGAGGAGTTGAGCTGCCATAACATCAATTTAGTAACACCAGAGTGACAAATGAAAAGTCCGGTGATTTGGGAAACCGAAAATACGAATCCGATGGGAGCGAATGAGTCCTAAAACAAGGGCCATAGTTGCAGTATTGTTCTCATTCAAGTGGTGACCTCAGGTAACTGA